GTGTAATTTCCTTCAACTTAAAGGGTTTACTTTACTTTGTGTGTGGTTTTCCCTGTAAGTCAGGTCTGCAGTGAATTCTATCATTTTTTTTGTTTATCTAGGAATGTATTTGTTTTGATTTTTTTATAAAAGAATAATTTCATGCCCTAGCTGATTTGGGTCAGTGAATAGAGCATTGGCCTATAGATTGAAGGGTCCTAAGGTTGATTTAAGGGCACTTGTCTGGGTTGCAGGCTCAATCCCCAATAAGGGAAGAGCCAATCAATGATTCTCATTATTAATGTTTCTATCTTTCTTTCCCTCTCTCTTCCTCTCTGAAATCAATAAAAATATAAAAAAATAAGTAAGAAAATAAATAAGAATTAAAAAGTCAAATATAAAGTCAAAGTCCCTTGCTAAAAACTACTCTTCATAATTTGGATGCCCTTGCATGAAAAAAAGAAGAAAAATATATATGAGTGTTTGTATAATATATATATATATATCAAATATATATATATATATATATATATATATGCACAAAGATAAAAATAAATACCTATCATGATAAAGATTAATTATCCAAATAATAGTAACCATAAAAAAGAGAATTAAAAACTGGGACTTTTTTTAATACTCTATGACCCATTTTTTTCTGAGTGTGGAAGCTCTGACTGGCAGCTGCCATTCTGATATTTTAAAAAAAATTGTCAACAAAAACTCAATTTTGTTGGACTTAAAATTCTCATTTCTTGACAGGTGCCCATCAAAATTACATACCTTCTCCCCAAAATTTCTACAATATTTCTGTCAGGACAGTTCTGCTTAGTCTAGATATCTTATAAACTTCATTTTGATAACCGATCTCATTAAAAAGTACTATGGAAGCCTCATTTATTTATCATTTGAATGCTCATGAAGCTATTATTCAAATTTCTGAATTCACTCACTCATGTATTTTGTAACAGGCATATATCATTAGATTTTTTTTACATTCTGATAATGTCTCTATTTGCTCAGCCATCTATATTTAATGAAAAGCTATCACTTTTTCCCCGGCAAATTTCAAATACCAGTGGAGCTATCTAATACAAAAATCATGATCTTTCTGTGTGACCTTGGATAATCTTGCTCTATCTCCTGATTATATAAATCTATGGAACAGGGGACATTATAATGTAGATCAGTTTTCAAAAATATTATCATCATTGGAAATTGTGAAGTAGTTAAAATTTTTCAGCCTAAGTTTTACTGTTTTGAAGATACCAATCATGGATTATGTTCATTAACTCCTTTAAGCTATTAAAATGTGTACCACAGATAGCCTGAGTGACCTGAAAAGGGAGAGTATACCCTTTCTCTGTCTTTGCTCATCTCTTCTGCCCTCGTCTTCCCCAAATTTCCACATTTGAGGCAGAGAAACTCTTAGGCAGCTTCAGGCACTGTCCCAACTTGTGGGTTTAGTTTGACTCTCTCTTCTTTTTGGTTATCTCAAGAGGCACACCTACCTCCTGGGCTAACCACAGAATTCCTGCACTTTTACCTGAATCATTCTTACTGAGTTGACCGTCTCTGCAGCCAAAGCGAACTACTAAGCACCCTTATTCTTTCTGAATTGTGCTTTATGGAATAGCTTGGATAGGGGTGTCTTTGTTCTTTCTTTTTTTTTTTTTTTTTTTTTTTTTTTTTTTTTTTTTAATCCTCTGCATTGTCCTTGTTCTAATAAGGGGATGCCTGCACCTACATTTCCAGTTCCGAGACCACTTCTTTCTCCCATGCATGTTCTAGGTATGTCCCAGTTGATCCAAATGGGCATCTACCTTGTCCATGTTCCAAAGTCCTGTTTTGATCATCTATGCAGTTGCCTTTCCAGCCTGAGGCTCCTATTCTCCTTGCCAGTTATCCTATTTCAGGACCAGAGCTCAACCTCCCAAGGCTGCCCCACAGCTGGGCTCTCTCCTCTTAAGGGATGTCTCAGGTGCTCAAAGTCTGGGCTTTAGCTTTCCAGCAGTCTCTATTCCTGTGTTCTACCCAATTGTTGAATAGATCCTCTGATTCTTTGTTGTCCTTTGGTCCCTACAGGAACCTGAAACTTCTGTTCACTTAAATTCTTGGTCTGCAGGCATCCAGGCCTGCTTCACACATCCTGTCACCCTGCTAGTGGATGGCAGCTGAACAGTAAGTTCTCTGGTCAAGTTGGTTTAGAAAAAGCTTATTTCAATGGTTATTCTATTTTCTTTTCTTTTTTAGGACTCATCAAGTCTTTAATATGCTTGCATTCAGAAAGGTGAAAATAACAGTTTTTCTAAATATATTTGTTGAAGGAACATTAGTTTTCCAAGTTTCTTAAAGGCCTAGTGTTATACAAAACATATTTTGAAGATGCTTTTTAAAAAAAATAATATTAGATGAGGAAGTCTACATGGTCTATTTCAGTTTTACGGATTCTGATTAAATGATTCACAAGAACTGTTTTTTGGAGAATGTGAGCAAAGTAGCAAAATCTGTTAGTGTTTAGTCAACTCTGTCCAAAGAGTAAGGAAGCCTTCATTTTGGTTCTAGGGAGTTGTTTTCTATAATGAAGCAAGGAGAAAGCGGAGGACTAGCATTCCTTTATTTGCTCAGTCATTGTGAGAATATTTATTGAGAACTTCAATGTGCCAGGTATCATTCTAGAGGCTGGAATTTTAATGATGGATAAGATCAATACCCTCCCTGCCCTTAATAATCTTAGAGAAATCAGCCAGAGTAAAATATCCTGCCAGCCACCTACTATCTTTGCTCTGAGTCTACGCATCAAGTCTCAGCTTAAAGTTTCCTTTTCTAAAGTTTAAGTACAACTCTTTTTGTGATAAACTGAATTCAGGTTTGTCATTCTTCTACCATTAAAGAAAATTGGTGGACTACATAAGCAAATAGGCATAGGCACAGCCAGCAGATACATATACACAGAAGCGCATAGAAACCACATACGTTCATATTATAGATACCACTGGGGCAACCTTTATCTGACTGATGCTAAACATAAAATGTTGCTATTGATGTACATATGAGTTTTTTTCAGAGCGTTTTTCAGAACTCTTGCATTAAAACAACCAGGGGGTGCTTGTGAAAATGCAAGTGTCTGGGCTCGACTCCACATATTGGGTCTAATAATAATTAATGTCGTTTTTTAACATTCGTTTAAAATCTTGCTTGGCATTGACTTGTATTGACATAACCTTCAAACACGTGGTATCTACAGAACGTGTGCAGTGCAATTAACAAGTTTTGCTTGAAAAAGTTTGTGTTTGGTTTGGTTTTTGTTGCAAAACTAGGGCTAAGAAGGCGGATGAAGAGCATATTTGGCACTGCATGCTTTACGAGTTCCAATTAGGAAGAAAAGCAAGTGAGGCTGCAAAAAACATCTGTAGTGCTCTTGGTCAAGATGCAGTTAGCTCCAGAAAATGCCAACATTGGTTTGAGAAATTTCGCGAGGGAAATTTTTCGTTAGATGACAAGAGTGGTCGAGGCCGTGTGTCCAATTTTGATCAAGAAGCTCTTCAAGCTCTTTTGGTGCAAAATCCTCAAATTACCCAACAAGAGCTTGCGACAACTTTAAATTGTTCACAGAAAACAATTTCCAATCAATTGCGTGCACTTGGCAAATTCCAAAAGTTTGGAAAATGGGTTCCTCATGAGTTGATCGACAACAACCGTAATCAAAGAGTCACAATTTGCAGTTCACTCCTCTCTCGTCAAAACCGTTTGCCGCTTTTAGAGCAAATTGTTACCGGAGATGAAAAGTGGGTGCTGTATGTTAATTTGAAAAGGCGGCCTCAATGGTTGGACAAAAATGAGGCTCCGCAGCCCATGCCAAAACCTGACTTGCATGCGAAAAAAGTGATATTGTGTGTTTGGTGGAATTTTAAAGGAATTCTTTATTATGAACTTTTACCATCTAACCAAACCATTACAAGTGCAGTGTATAATGCCCAACTGGAAAGGTTAGCCCAAGCTTTAAGAGAAAAAGAACCCGCGCTGATTAATCGGAAGGGCGTAATTCTTCACCACGATAACGCACGACCACATACTGCAAGAATCACTGCTGAAAAACTGCGCCAGTTGGAATGGGAAGTTCTCCCTCAACCTGCATATTCTCCTGATATTGCCCCTTCCGATTACCATTTGTTTCGTTCTTTGCAAAACTTTCTTCTTGGAAAAAAAATTTAATAATGAAGAATGCCTCAAAAATGCATTGACCGAATTTTTTGCATCAAAATCACAAGAATTTTACAACAGAGGGATTAAAATGCTTCCTGAGCTTTGGGCACAAGTAGTAGAAAACAACGGCAACTATATTGTTGATTAAATTTTGTTGTATTGTTTAAATAAATTCAATTTAAAAAAGTATTAGAAAACGACATTAATTATTACTAGACCTAATATTCTGATTTAGAGGGTCTCAGGAATATTCATGTTAAATTAGGACCACATAACATACCTATGCTCACTTACATTTAAAAACTTCTGATTATTGAGTCTCTGGTTGGGGACTGATAGCTGAAGCTTGCTGCCAAGCAGAACTAGATTGCCAGAGGGAGTCACATTGGCTGGGGTGAGGGCTGGCAGGACAAAAGGCAGGCACTAGTTCTCCTAGTGGAATAATGTAGAGAAGGTACTTGATATAAGTAGTATTCAAATGTGTTAATCCTCTTTCTTCTCTCATGCTTCAAAAAACAACAACAACAACAAAAGACACAACCAGGAGTTTAGCACACCTGGGGCTTCTCACTATTTCCTCCCCAGTCAAGTACATTTTATTTTATTTCCATGTAAACTCATTAGTGAAGAGATCCCTGTATTCTTTCTAGAAAGACTGGAGATCCCTCTTAGTCTAATTTAAAATTTGATTTCATTGTTTAGTTTTAAGTGAGTTTTCAGTATTGATAAAAATTTAAATACCACAGTTCGGAGCATCGTGGGATTTTCTCACATTACACAAAAAGAGAGCCTACTAGTTTCAGATCAAAAGCCTAAAAGCCTCAGTCACCACATTTCCTGTTTGTAACTGAACAGAGTACACACGAAAGATGTTAAGAAACAAATGAGAGAAAAACTGAGGTAGAGACAAAGACAAGTTTTATTGCCACACTTCTTTGAGATAACAAAGCAACGTTACTTGGAAACAAAAGTTTGTGGGAGCATTTTTAATCAATGTGTTTACCTTATGGCTGCATAAGGATTTCTCTCAGAAAAGAAGCATGTCAGGTAAGTGGCATTTTTAATTATTTTGTTCCATTCCTATGTCTAAAATTCCACTTAATAATTTTCGAGTCTCCAGCAAGGGCACTTAAGATTTGAAAGTAAATTAGTTTACACTTTCTTTCTTTTAAAATATATTTTTATTGATTTCAGAGAGGAAGGGAGAGTGAGAGATAGAAACATCAATGATGAGAGAGAATCATTGATCGGCTGCCTCCTGCATGCCCCCTAACAGGGATAGAGCCAGCAACCCAGACATGTGCCCTTGACTGGAATGATAATTTTGCAAAGGCCAGTGGAAATCCCATCACTTGTGGAATGAAGTTAATCCACATTGATTAGCTATGTCTCTTCCATGTAGATAGTTCATCCCTCTTTTATTATTTTAATTGCTTTCTATTTCTTTAACAAAAAATTATTCATGATAACAGAAAAGATACATATTTATTAAGGGTGAGAACTGTGAAATATATATAAGAAAGAAAAAAATTTACATAGTTCTCATTTCCTTAAAAAAACACCATGAAGATAGTGCATTGTATTTCCTTCCAATTTTTATTTCTTTACATTCTACATGGTTTGCTTTTCATAACTGAAATAATAATGTACATAAAATCATAATCCAACTCTTTTCACAAACATTATGACATAATTATTTCCCTTTTTATAATAATTTCTGCCTGATTATTTTACATGAATGCACAAAATAACATCTATTGGGTTAATTATAGTTTACTTGTTTATTATTGGACATTTATGTTGTACCCATTTTTATATTTTTAAATGACAGAAAAATGAGCATCTTTGTAGCTTTTTCTATATTTAGAATTATCCTTTGGGGCAAGATTTCTAGAGCTGGGATTAGTGAGTAAGAGGTTATGAACATTTCTGTCCCATTTTTACCAAATTGCTTTTCCAACAGCAATGCCAAGTCACTTTCCTAGCAGTGCTTCCCCTTAATAGGCTGATCTAATTAAAAATTTTTCACTAATAAAAAGCACAACATGCTGACCCATTGTTTAATATACATTACTTTGATTATAATGAGGTTGAACATTTTTGCATGGGTTTTTTAATTGTTTATAATTCTACCATTTGTAAATTGTTTGATCACATCTTTTGCTTAATTTTTGTGCATATAGTACTTTTACTGTTAATTTGTATGAGCTAATTATAATGATATCATATCTGACAACTTCTGTGAATTTGTTTCCAGTGTTTTGTTTGCTGGATTTTAAAATCAATTGATTGGACTAGCTACACAAGGGTGTGTTAGCTGACATACAGTTTTCATCTTTTCCAGGGTTCATAGATTATCGAAGAACACAAACAATTGTCCAGGATTTGCTAGTGTCCTGCAAGAAATGAATGCAGCAATTATATAAACAGTTGCCATGAGCTAGTGGTGATAGGGAGTTGGGAGAGGCCAAAGTCAGTGAATATGACATTCAGCTATTTCCAGTATTAACTAACGGTAATTTTTTAAGGGATATGGTACAATTTCCATAGCAGTTTGAAATTTAGGTTTTTCCTTTAAGTGTATGGCAGGAGCTCCTCCATTAAGACCTAGTACAATTCCACAGAAGAGATAAAAAAATAAACTATTAATCACAAAAGCCTCATAGATCTTAAAACAAAAGAAGAAACCTTAATGCAAAATGAGATGACAATCAAATAATAATATTTTTTTACACTGAGATAGGTAAAGAAAAGGAAGAAAAAGTTTGAACACAAGAAAAAATGAAATTTCTAGCTAATTAAAACATGTATGAAAATAAAAACCCAAATCTTCCCTTTTCTCCTACCTGCATGCCTTATCGTCACTGGATTAATAAATGTGCTGGTATAATAATTCTTACTGTGTTTCTGCATCCACACAAAATCAGTATTAGCTGAGTCAAATGATGAAAACAACCCCTTTGGGCTACCATTAATATAGATCAAACAATGATTCACAATGTAGTTACATTGCTGTTTTTCCATAAAAGAATTTTATGGTATTTGTTTCAATTTTCTTTTCCATTGAGCCTCAGTCACCTTTTTCTTAAAAACAATGAAAGCCTTTCTTTTAGAAACTAGGTAGGTAGGAATGATTTATGACTCATCTTTTAAATTCAGATCTTCTTTAAAATAAGAGTAAGTTAAACAACATGTTTCATTATTTAATTTAGATAGTTTGGCAATGATGTTAAGGAAAATCAATCCAGGAAAAATTGTCACTTTAGAGGTCATAGCTGAGAAATAAAATGTTCATGAATTGCTAGATAATAATAAATATTCTTGATCACTTTCCAGGCATTTTTAATTTCATTTTAATTTTCTCAGTCCCTGAATTAAAAAGAAGAGAGAAAAAAATTAACAAATCTTCTTAAGACAATAAAGAAATACAGTAATTACAGTATTTTACTGGACGAAAGTTTCTATACACCCATGCCAACCTCAGAGGGTCTTACCAATGTGCTTCTCCAATAGGAAACTATAAGTACCTAAGATGGAGAGCTAAATACATAAAGAGAGATTCATCTACAGTAGGGACTTGGGCATTACTGTAATCCCAATAGGATTTGTAAAGTTTATCAAACATAATTAAAGTTTAATTATAAAAGTGACTGCAGAAATCACAATATATTGTCTTAAAATCTGCCCTCAACCTCACTCTCATAAGTAGCTTTCCTCAATTCTATTTAGTAAGAATTGGTTAAGAGCACTCATGATGTACTAAAAGGAGGGAACCTGGATGATACCAAGATGAGGATCTGAACTCCTATTTTACCAGTGACTTAGGGAGTGAGGGTCAGTGATTTGCAGAAAGCCACACAACTGGTATGTGACTGCCCTCATTCACTTTCTCCACGCTGTTTGAAACAGACATTCCAAATGTGCTATATGAATATTTATCCTCTCTTTTGTGGTCTCTCTCAGACATACACCATTCACTTCTCTAATAGTCCTTTCTTTACAATAGACATTTAAGGTAGACAGCTTTTAAAATTTGCATTAAAAACATTATCTCATTCACTTGAAAGCCTGGGGCTGGATTTGAGAATCCCTCCCAGTGCTTCTGCCTATCACTCTCATGCCTCTTAGTGAAGGGGTAATTGCAATGGATAGAGGAGGGGAGGGGCTCTGTGGATAGTGATAATGTGCCACATTCAAAGAGTCATGAAGGTGCCTAGTGCAGCACCAAACCATCTGCACAGTAAGAAAAACTCATGAGTAGACTCTATGGGGGTTGTTAAATCAGAACTTTTTCTTTGAACTTTCTGGGGTGTTTAAAATAAATATAGACATTTGTAGAAAGCAAGAAGAGATAGTCACTGCTCTGACAGAGTTTATAAACCAAGGAGAGAAACCATTAAGAGAAGCCATAACCTAAATACTAGAAGCTTATACACTTATCTCAGTTATAGAACCCCTGAAGGAGAAACAATTAAGGCATTATGTTTATTGCTTTTCTGTGATACTTGTTTAAGTAAAGGCTTCTGTATGAATCAAACCTGCAAAGCAGATGGCATTACATTTGCTTAGCTGAGCTTCCTGCCAGAGCACATGTAATTGTGAATTTTAAATACAGTGCCTGCCAAGTACTATTGGCTTAAGGGAATCAGAGGCCTTATAATTAAACCTCTCTCTCATAGCCTCTGGCTGATGAATGCTAGATAGAAACTTAAATCATGGTTTTCCTAGTTGTCATTGCCTTTGGCTTTTTAACAGTGTAAATAGCTAAATTCAAATTGTGTGTAGTTCTTTTTAAACTGATAAAATCTATACAAATGAAAGTAATTACAGTTAATGAATATTATACTAAAGATTGCATTTGTTGGGCAAGAATTTTTGAGTACGTTGTGCGTTCAATATTATAAGATGGACTGTCTCTACTGAATGGATACCCACATGTACCTGGAAATATTCATACTCTATATGGAAAATAACTGAGTAAGGGATGGATGAAGTGATGTGTGTGTGTGTGTGTGTGTGTGTGTGTGTGTGTACATTTATACAAATCTTGCCATTCAAGTTGAAAATTTTCACCATTTAGCTACTCAAAATCTTCTCATCTGCATGTTTTTGTTTTGTTTTTCAAATGGGGGTATTTATTGTTGGCAATCAAAGATTATGAAACACATCAAGAATGTCATGAAATCCAAAGCTTCTAAATGAAAATATTCCTATGTAAAACTCAAATTATATTACAAAAGGAAAACAATCTTAGAAAATAAGAGGTCACTAGGAATATAGACTCCTAACATCAAAGGAAAACTGGAGACCATGCCAAATAATGTCCTCAACATAAAAGAAACATCTTCTTGCATTTTTCTGTTTTCATAGTTGTTTCTTGCATTTTTCTGTTTTCATAGTTGGAGGGTGCTCATTTAACAAGTCAAAGTAAACATAGTAGGTCTTAAGGTAAAAGCTGAAGAGAATGAAAGCACACTTCATTTTATGCTTCTTAAAATTAATATGTAGTCTGTGAGATTATTTTTGCTCACCCTAGCTCTTATGTTATTAACACCCCAATTTTATGCAAGTGTATATAGGGTGGGAAAAAAGTAGGTTTACAGTTGTTCATATGGAAAATAGTTCAGTGATTAGTAAACAAGAATGCAAGAATATACTCTGTTTCAATTACTTACAACTGTAAACCTACTTTTGCCCTCCCCTTGTATTTCCCAGAGATTATACTATCAATAACTAAACAAAGTCCCCAATGATTTTTAAAGCAGAAAATAAAATATTTTATTTATAGTGGTGACTGCCCCATCAATCTATTAGGATAGCTAGCTGTTAGCACCAACTTTCTTGTATCATGCTTCCTGGGGAAAACAAACCAATTTTCTGTAGGGTTTTGGTAAATACAGATTCAGGGAAGGGAGAATTGGGATATGTTGATAACTTTCAGCAAAACAACAGTGGCTTAATGAGTTACTTTTCTCTCACAGGTTCTATTTCCCAGTTTCTGGAAGGCAGGTCCTTTCTCAATTGCATAGGGTACAAATGTAATAGAATGTTCAACTTATTTTCCTTGGGTTGTGGATATTTCTAGATCTTATACTTGACCAGAACTATTCTGTTGGTTTTGGTCATTACATTACCCTTCTTTACTCCATCTTTCATTTATTTGGTCAGTTGACACATGTTTAGTTAGCACCTACTTTGTGCTGAGTAGGTTGCAGAAATAATTATAGGAGGCATAAGGTAATAATAAAAAGAAGAACAACAGCTAATATTTATTGAACATCAAATATTAGTGAAAAACACTATTCTCCTAATCTCATTACATATCTTAATTCACTTAATCCCTATAATTATAGGTACAAGAAAGAAATGAGGCATGAAAATGATAGTCTTTCTATCCTTTGGGAAGTTAAGAGTCTATTGGGGAGATTTATATATGTAATTGATTATGCTAATATGTAATGAAATGAATTGCAAAGAGATATATAGCATGTCATTTGGTGGGGTACAAGAAGCTTCAAAGGAGTGAATGCTTCAAAGAGAAGGCAGTCTTGAGGAACAGGACTAGGAATTCATCAGACTGGTAAGGGGAAAGGTATTTCAGGCAAAGGGGCAAATAAACAGAGAATAAAGACATAAAATAGTAAGTATGATATCTATTAACAATTGCAAATGCAACAGAGAATAATAAGTTTGGCAGTATATTAACCAAGGTGTTCACAGTTATTGTCTCTTGATAAGATTGTACTTAATACTTATCTTTTTGTTTTTGCTTACCTGAGTTTACTAATTGTTTTTTTTAACATTGAACATGGATGATGTGTATAATGTGTCTGGCTTCTTTATAACAATTAAAGCATATGTATTTAAATGTCACCAAACACCGGTGGAGGGTGAATGAATACAATTTATTTTGGCTGCCTGAGTAACCTGAAATGGTCATTGTGATATGCTGCAATAGAAAATATAGAGTGTGCCCTCAGATTGCTTTAAAGTGTGAAAGAATGTAGAACTGGACCTACACTGTGGGTCTTTAAGTGATATCAGCAAGAAAAAAGTCTTTAATGATAAAAATGATTAATTTAATCACAGAAGTCAGAAATTTCTGTAAAATTTCTGTATTATGACAGCAAAGAGGGAAACTGAGATCCATCTGGAAAGTGAGACAGCTTGCTGGCCCCATTTTCCACAATTATGTTAAATCAACCACCTGAAAAGGACTATTATCAATGGGGGGTGGGGTGAGTGGGGTGGGGATCAGTCTGTCCCTTAAAGCATGCTTTAAAAGTTCCCTTTACACAGCAATTCTATTCTCAGGAACCTCTTTTACAAATAACCCACATAAGCACAAAATATCTGTACAACGAAGTTTCTTGCATTTTGTTTATAGGAAAAAACATTTAAAACATTAGAACATCCATCTTAGAAAAAGGGTAGATGAATTAAATACTATGGAATTCTAAGTAGCCACTAAAATGAACATACTGTCTTGGTAAAAATCCACATGTTTTTATAAAAAAGGTCAATTAGTGTAATATTAGTGTCCCATTTATGTTTAATTAGAGGACCTTGGGTGTTATTTTATATCTTATTATTGCTGGAATTTTAAAAATTTACACTCAGCAGGCACTTTTTAGTGTTTCAAAAAATACATAATTAAATGTAAATATCAAATAAGTAATTTTAGAAATATATGTAGTATCATGGAGGAGGATTATTAGTACTGTATATTTCAAATAGCTAATAAATATTATATTGTAGAATTCTCATAAATATTTACAAGATTATGTTCTTGTTGAATAAATTAATCCCCTCCAAACCTTAGTGTTTTTAATCAAATTAATTAATAGGTCTACTATAGAAGACTTCCAGTCTTCTCTATTTTCTTATACTTTCTGAAATATAAAAATTCTCTTAAATAAAAGAAAACCACACATTTTTCTACCATTATCAGCTACCTTTTCCTATTAATTAATTAATTAACTAATTATTGAAAACGTTTTATAAATTATATATTCCGTATTTAGCACTGCAAATAGAAATTGTCCTATTCTTTGTGGAACTTACAGTACTTGGAACATCTAACTAACATGGTGCAAAACTAAAGAGGAGATAAAAACACCAGGATTCGCTGGTGTTATAAGAGCCACAGACTAGCCGAAACCAGTTTGGCTCAGTGGATAGAACGCAGGCCTGTGGACTGAAAGATCCCAGGTTCTATTCTGGTCAAGGGCATATATCTTGGTTGCAAGCACATCCCCAGTGGGGGGTGTGCAAGAAGCAGCTGATCGATGACTCTCTCTCATCGATGTTTCTGGCTCTCTATCCTTCTCTCCTCCTCTCTGTGAAAAATCAATAAAATATATTTTGTTTAAAAAGAGCCACAGACTAGTTCAGACAAAAGCAATGCATATAATAATAAGTGATATGCAAATTATATGCATATATGTATATATACATCTATATCATAAATATATGTTTTTAATACATTTAATCATCTATATGCTTATGTTCATTTAAAATAAATGATGCCAGTAAATAAACAAAGCCAAATAAAATACACAAGACCTCTGAGGGCAATTTAAGAAACATGGTAATATCCAAAAGTGTTCAGAGAAAACAATCAGCAATTCAAATATCAAATTTAAGATAATGATAATAGTAAAATAGAGCAGCACAAAAAACATTTGGATTTAGGCATTCTCTGTTGGGTGATTTAAAGATAGACTAGGGAAGCAAAAATGAATTTCCTCCTACTAAGAGTTTGTTTCTTCTTTTTATTGTGTTTAAAATCAATGTTTGGATTTCTTTGAAAGGACCTAAGATGGTTTCTTATTCTGGGTAGTCACAGAGAGTTGGGACCAGAAGGAACACAATCCCTGTTGTAGCTATTTACACATAGAATTACCAATTATGTGTTTATACATCCATGCTCCTGGCTCCCTGCACCCAACTAAATAGAGAGTTCCTTGAGGGCAAGATGCTGTTTTCTTTATTGATTCCCTAATATAGGGCATAGTTCCTAGCACAGAAGAGATGTCCCATTAATACTGGATGAATATATAAATACGTGGTAGTATAGAATCACAAGCTACTTTTTTAGGGTCACCATTCACTTGGGTATATCACTACTAAGATAATTACCATAATTATATATGTATACTAGAGGCCTGTTGCACAAAGAGATTAGTGAAATAGGCCTTCCTTCCCCTGGCTGCCAGCACCAGTTTTCCTCTGGCACCCGGGACCCAGGCCTTTACCCTGGCCGCCACCTTTGCTGCTCCCGTAACTCCCTCTACCCTATCCTACCCCTCCTAGCAGGTGTCCTGCTCAGCCATGCATGCTGCCCAGAGGCCTAGCTGTTGGGGGGAGGGTTGTTGGCATCTTTGGCAGGTTAATTTGCATACTCACTCCTGATTGGCTAGTGGGTGTCACAAATGTATGGTCAATTTGCATGTTTCTATTTTATTAGTGTAGATTATAATATAAAGGCTGATTTATAGTAGGCTCATATATATTAGAGTAGTATCTATAATTATATATATTAGCCTAATATATATACAATGATATATAATATATTTAACATAAATAATATACACATATATTTAAGTATTATATACAGATATACATAATTTTTATATAGGTTGTATAATTTATGTATAATACATATTATATATAAAGTCAAACTAATCTTTTTAAAAATATATTTTTATTGATTTTTTACAGAGAGGAAGGGTGAGGGATAGAGAGTTAGAAATATTGATCAGCTGCCTCCTGCACACTCTCTACTGGGGATGTGCCCGCAACCAAGGTACATGCCCTTGACCAGAATCGAACCTGGGACCCTTGAGTCTGCAGGATGATGCTCTATCCACTGAGACAAACAGGTTAGGGCTAAACTATTTATCTTAGTAGTCATTTATATATGTGTAAAGGTTGCCATAATAATCAAGGACAACTGATAGGCAATAATATCCCACAGAACCCCATTATGGCTCAGGAATGAAAAAAAGAAGCCTTGCAGATGAGAAAGGGAAGCATAATCAACTCTCCATTACTCATTATGAGGATCTAAATAATATGAGAAAAGTTCTTAGGTCAGTCTTGACAAAACTGGGTTATTGTGATTTCAGAATTACTGTTTTATCCCAATATACAGTGCCCTATACTACTGAAGGGAATAAGTAGTTTTCAGTAAATAATGAAACCATTATAATTGCTTATATAGTTTGGGGATGAAACAAAGGACAAAATATAGCAAACTATGATTTTGGATAATTTGGATATTCTTGATTTTGAACCAAAGTTCTTATAATCAGTCACAAGTTGTTAAATTTTAGTATAATAGATAGACTAAAAATTTCTTCTATGTCATTAACAATAGAAGAAATTTTTGCCATGCTGAATTTAGGAACCTTTACCAATACCCATTTTGAATCTCTAGGAAGCCTTTGGCTTTCAATGCTCATTAATTTCTTAGCAGAGAATTTGTCCTTCATTGTGAATAAATACAATAGTTTTAATTGTGAAAATACTCAGTTCAAAACAAATAGGTAAGCAATTGATATATATGATGCATATGATATGTGGATATAGATAGATAGAACAGCATGTTTTATTTATTTTTTAATTACAGTTGACACTCAATAATAAGTCCAGCACCTATATTAAGGGTATGTGTGCTTTGCTTTACAGGAAACCCTGAATGCCAGTATTATGTCTGGGCAATTATAGCCTCCTTGGTGTTAGCTCTGGTTATATCACTGATCTTCAATGTTTCCCACTATGTGGAAAAGAAGCGGCAAGGTAAGACATTTTCAGAAACAGCCATATGGGACCTGCTTGAATTGAAACTGATTCACTGGAAAACCTACAGAAGAAGACAATTTTATAAAATGTTATGAAATAAGATATTTTTATCTATAGAAAATCTACTTGACACATTTTTCACCCTAAGGGTTATCTTAATTTAAGAGTTCAATCATAGCCTTGACAGTTTGGCTCAGTAGTTACAGTGATGGCCCAGATGGCCCAGGAACTGAAAGGCTGTGGGTTCAGTTCTGGTCAAGGGCACATACCTCTGCTGTAGGCTCAGTCCCCATTCCCAGTCGGGTGCATATGGGAGGCAACCAATTGATGTGCCTCTCTCACATCAATGTCTCTCTCTCTCTCTGTCTCTCCCCCTCCCTTCCACTCTAAAAAATCAATGGGAAAATATTCTTGGGTGAGGATTAACAGCAGCAACAACAACAAAAATGCAATCATATTAGAAATGTTAAAGACTCGAAATCTTACTTTTATCTTTGCCTTAAGGTATAGAGTAGGAAAAGATTGTCCTAATAAAATGTATTTTTCCTCCTTTATTAAACAGCCTACAAATGTAGTCTATCCTGGAACAGCCATAAAGATTCTCTCTTACACAAGATGAGAAAATTGAAGACTAGCTCTTTCAGGTTCCACTAGAGCCTACTCAAACTTCTCAGCTTGTGTCAGGGCCTCTACAGTGCAGAAGAGTCTTGAGATCAGAAGGAAACTGAACCATAGCTGAGGGATAGGACTATCCCAGTCGTCGGCAAACTCATTAGTCATCAGAGCCAAATATCAATAGTACAATGATTGAAATTTCTTTTGAGTGCCAAATGTTTTAAACTTAATCTATATAGGTAGGCACATTGTTATTAACTTAATTAGGGTACTCCTAAGCTGGCCTTTGCTAAAAATTCAAGGGGCCAAAGAGCCGCATGTGGCTCGCTCGCGAACCACAGTTTGCCGACCACTGTCCTTGGGCCTAGAAGAGCAGGTCAAGGGGAACTGGCACTGTTGGGTTTTCTTTTCAAAAAACTGAGCAACGGTTTTAAACATATGAATCTCACTCTCAAGTGCATTATTGAAATAGTGTAACTGGCAAAATCTTTGCACAATGTAGGCATTTAATATATTATATGTACGATGAATGCATGAATGATTGGGTGGGTAGATGGATGATGGGTGGATGGATGGGTAGAAAATGAAAACTCAGCTATTTTGGGGTGGGGATCTTAATATTCTAGAACCAACAAACTATTAGGGGCAAAACATTTAAATGGTAATAAACAAGCATCTTCCTTTAACAGATAAAAAGAAATAAAAATGAAGTTAATCAAACTAAATTAGACACATGTGACCAAGAAAAATAGTATAAAGATTATTTATTTATTTATTTATTTATTTATTTATTTATTTATAAAAATATATTTTATTGATTTTTTACAGAGAAGAAGGGAGAGGGGTAGAGATCTAGAAACATCTACATAGATTAGCTGCCTCTTGCACGCCCCCTACTGGGGATGTGCCTACAACTCGGTACATGCCCTCAAACCTGGGACCCTTCAGTCCACAGGCTGATGCTCTATCCACTGAGCCAAACTGGTTTCAGCAACATAAAGCTAATTTAGAACGTTGGTCAGATTCTGAGGAGAGTCCTTGATTTTCTTAGGAGTGTCTTCTCCAGTGCTGCTAACAATTGTAAAATGTAAAGAGAAATGCATCATTGTCACATGAGTCTGAAAAGAAATGAGAAGCACTAAAAAATGAAGTAGCATAGCTAAGGTCACCCATCTGTTTAATAGGAAAATCAAGGATAAGTGCTCAGTTTTTCTAATTCTCTGTCCAAAATGGCTTCCACCAGCTCGTGCTGACCACATGTCCTCAGACAGAAATGCTACTTTTTTAAGGTTTCTATTACATCATTTCTATGAGTAAGATGAAATTCCAGACAAGCAACACTTTTTCATTAGCAGTTAGATTAGTAATTACTTCTAAAATCCTATGTTTTTCAAAGTTTATATCAGATGCACAAATGACCCATCATTAGACATCTTTAAAAAGTTTCCTTCCTTTATAGAAGAAAAAAATGAGTAGTGATTAGTGCTTTTCTTTATACAATTGCTTAAAATGAATATATTTTAAGTTTTACTAAAGTGTTTTGTGAATGCAGGTAATATTTTCGCCCGAGTTAGAAAAACTGAGTTGAGAACTATAGAAGGGACATAACTGAAGGGGGAAACCGGATCAGTGATAAGCATCTGAACTAGTGCTCCACTCTTCCATTGATTCCAGTGGTAATCATTTGGAGATTTGTGTGGGGTCAGAGAACATGTGGGTTTTCCAACTCTCATTTTTGATAGTTTATACATTGAAATTTATTTACCTATATCCCTACCATCTGCCACCATACAAACTCCTTTGGGGAATTGTTCGCTTATCATGGTTAATTGATCACTGCTTTAAAAAATAGCAGGTTTAAAATTTTTTAAGATAGATTTATTTTTATTTATTTTCAATGGTACAAATCCTTACTGCCTCTAGCATATTGTTAGAAGCACCTCTTACCAACACCACAGAGGTGTTACTGAATAGCCCTGAGTTCATGGAGAGGGCTGTTCCCAATCTTATGCAAATGAATTTATGAGTATATGAGAAACCTTGCCTGTGTAGTGAAAAGCCACTTTATTAAAGCATGCCCCTTTATTAAAAAAGCAAAGCAAGCAAACTTATACATCTCACTTAAGAGCACAGATTGGGCTCTAAGCTAATTTGAACAGCAGGTTGGGTTGGGGTCCGAGGCATTATTTACCTCCTGCCTATAGGTTTCAAAATTCCTCTGCTGAATATCTCAGAACAGATTAATTCTCAAGGTCCTGTTTTACTTTGTTGTGTCCACCCCAGAATTCATGGAAAGCATCTGGCAACTTCATCTCTCCTGCCTTCTCTGCTTAGAGAGTAAAACTGCCCTATTTTCTTTTCTCCTTTCCTCTCCCTTTCTGCATTCTCTCATTAGGGAGGTTTTTATTAACCATTTGCTCTCCTGTCCCTGGCTGGGGAAGATAATGGCTTGTTAGTTAAAAACTGGCTGGGATTGCCCACACTATCTAGCCTTGTTTTAACTTTCCTCCTCCTCCTGCCCTGGAACCTGTAACAAAATCATAAGTAAATCTATTGCCTTAAAGCAGTATAGAGGGAAATAACATTTAAAAAAAAAACAACAGAAAATTCACTGTTGTATTTTAAAAAGTCAATTTCAGTTGCCTTGATTACTTTAACATCCTCGCTTTTAAGTCAACCTGATATTAAATTAGATCTGTTTTTAATGTTTTCCTGGGAGATCTTATACAAGGAATATAAGTTTTCTGAGTTATAGTTTTACAAAATGTCTACAAAATGTTGTAAATATCGTCTAGACCAGTGGTCAGCAAACTCATTAGTCAACAGAGCCAAATATCAACAGTACAACGATTGAAATTGCTTTTGAGAGCAAATGTTTTTAAACTTAAACTTCTTCTAATGTCACTTCTTCAAAATAGACTTTCCCAGGTTGTGGTATTTTGTGGAAAAGACACACTCAAGGGGCCAGAGCCTCATGTGGCTCATGAACCACAGTTTGCAGACCACGGGTCTAGACTATAGGGTTCTTGTGAGAATTACACAGATACAGTAGTTCCCCTTATCCAGAAGGGATATGTTCCAGGACTGCTAGTGGGTACCTGAAACTGTGCATAGTAACAAATCGTGTATGTATTGTATTTTTTCTCGCATGTATGTACCTATGACAAACATAATGTTTACATTATGCATAGTAAGGGATTAATAATAATATAATGATATAGAAAAATTACAATAAAATAAGGGTTATTTGAACACTATCCCTGTGATACCATGACAATCGATCTGACAACTAACAGGGTTCAGTGACTAATGAAATGGGCGGGGAGTGTATACAATGTGAATAGGCTAGTCACAGGGCGATTCAGGTCCCAGTGAGACATAGTGGGACAGCTCGAGATTTAATCATGCTGCTTAGAATAGCATGTAATTTAAAATGCATGTATTGTTTATTTCTATTTAATATTTTTGAACCTCAGTTCACTGTGGGAAATTGAAGCCAGCAGTAAGGGGTGGGGGACTACTGTACCTCATCATCACAGGGATAGGGACTTAGTAGGTGGGTCCTGGACAGGGTACAGCCCACATCACCATTCTTGATGGCCTCAGTGCCTCCTTCCCTCACTCCACAAACATTTGTAAAGGAGTTACTATGGTCACATTTTATCCCACTTAATTTTAATGCCTGTTATTTCAGTGAACATGAATTCTTCTGGCTTCTCTGCTCCCACCATTCCTACTAGGCCCCATCCAGCTCCCATCTCACTTCCTGTCCCACCTCAATTAAACACGTCTGCACGATCGCCTGAGTTTTAGCAATAACTGTTGTGTTCATTTAACTCACAGGTTCATCTTAGTGAATTTTGTGTAGGTTTTCAAAGAATTGGCTCTAAACATCCGCCTATTGCAAATTGTTTTATTTAAGATGCAGTGTGTCCTCCTTAGGTGGTACACACAACGCTGGGTCTTGTACTTTCTCAGTGTGCAACCTAAGGTTAACCTTGGAGCAATGTTTATGCTGAAAGAATGCCCTTCATTCTCATCCTCTCTCCTTTTTCTGTCTGCTGTCCCTTTCTAACCTCCCCAGCTTTTCCCAACATCTTCTGCCAAATATTAGTAATATCTGCCTTCTTTCTATTGCGTATGAACAAATAGCACCATCTTACTTCCCACCCAGAGATTCCAGGTGGATTTGGGATTAGTTCCTTGCTTTGTTTCTGCCAGACAGACAGACATACAGACAGACAAGCTAGATGAGATTCCATCCCATTAGCCAGCTTTTAAGTCACTTGGTCTGGGAATGCAATACCCTTATATCTGGCCTCATGTGACTTTTTATTTTAATTTAAATATTTTTATTGTTGACACTATTGTAGATGTCCCCC